ATGTGCGAGTGTTTTCTTTTTTACTCCTCAGTTATTGATCTCAATTAGGTTAATTATTTACCGTTCATTTTAATTATATCAGGGCTTATTATGGAAATACAGCCTGGCAATAAAATGAGACGTTTTAACAAAAATGTTCTGCTTCTCGGATACCAGATTGTTTAGATATTGTTTTCAGCCCAAGAAGAGAGTACTTCGTATCCGTGAGAAAACGACATTGTAATTTTTGAAGCATATATAAGCACGTATTTTTGTCTTTTTTTATTGTCGCAACTGCCACTTATGCGCTACTCGTTAAGTAACGCTTGGCAAGAAGACATTTGTTCATTTGTTTTAATTTAGTTAAACCAATCCAGTTTCGCTTCCGAGCACGCACGTAATACTGAGAAACCATAGACGCTCGTTGTGCCTTTTAATTTATAAGCAGCGAAGGAGTACTGAATGACGGAGTGATAGCAGTACGCATTAGCAGAACCAGCCAAGTACGAGAGATTGTGAATGCACTTCAAATCACCACTCGAGACAGCTACATGAATTACAACTGACATAGGCAAACCGTATTTAGCGAAGAGCAAACTCGCAACACGAAAAGCACACCAGCACAAGCACGAAACAAGAAACACTCGCACTCCAGCGCGTATTTACAAAAACAAAAAAGTAAGCATACGTGTACGAAGCCATTTGTACAAAGCAGAAGCCGCACGGTACGTTCTCGTCGTCACTGGACACAATGCTATTTCGATTGTCTCTACTTTGAAGTATAAAGTAGTGCCTGTATAACCATCTGTACAAGTGACAAAAAAAAGAAAACAAAGCGATCTTCCTGCTTGCTAACTCAGCGGCATACATCGTTGCTATGAAAGCGGCGCGCAGGCGTCACGGACTATACACAAAGGTGCTGCCGTGTAGGCTCCGCAGCGCCCTGGCTGCACCTACTCGCACGTGCAGCGTGATTGCACTGCGGGACAAACTGTACAGTGTATTATTGCCGGTCGAATGTGTCGATTGCTTTGAGGCAAGACGACTGTAGTTGGGGTAGCTGTTTAGCCGCCGGGGCGAAGGGTCCAACCAAAAGCCTCACCGGTGACTCTCTACTGCAGAATGGCGAGGCACGCCTATAGCACTATTTTCCTACCTTCTCTATACAGGGACGCGCTCGGCAATGACTACGGGACCGCGGAAACGAGAATTCCGTCGTGTGGCACCGGGAGAGCCTTCGCTACAAAGTCAGATGCAGCATCAGTAACACCCAAAACTAGACAGCGGTCGTTGCAGAGTTGAAGGAGAACACAGCCGGGCCGGGAAGAGATCCGGCCGTGTGCATGACCGTTCCCCGGAGGGAGCGAGGACTTTCTAGCTTGTGTAAACAGCTCGGTCTCTCTTTGTCGGGATTGCATAGGAGGCTACGTGATGTCTATATAGCGCATTCGAAGATTGCACGTTTTAGTCGCGTTATTGCTATGAGAACTATATATACTACGGCAGACACAGCAGGTCACGTAAAGGTGTGCGAATGTCGCTCATTACTAACGCGTTGAAAGGAGACCCTGTTCGCAAATGAGTACATTTGCACTCCCGGCCATTTCGCTTGAGGCTGAGCAGCACCACCGGTATGCTTTGGACACTGGCTATGTATGTGTTGAACAGAATGATGAGTTATTGGTTGACTGCTTTGCGGGGCTTAGCATCAGGAAGCAACTCAGGCTATGAGAGATGCCGTAGTGGAGGGCTCCAGACAATTTTGACCACCTGGGGTTCTTTAACGTGTATGCGCTGTCATCGAACAGCACACTGAACACGGGAATTTCGCCTCCTGCAAAAGACCGATGAACACCATTTGATGCACATTACACGCAATTGTTTAGAGGTCACCATTGTCTCTTAATCAAGGCATGTTTTTCTTCTTTCTTCAAATGAGCACCTGCTCGACTTCTATTATTTCTGTCCGAAAATAACACGCCTGTGTTAACTGGCTAACATTTTGGCTATCTCAGATTAACTTGTAGGTTAGCACCTAGTTGGTTTAAATTACATTACCGCAACAAAGCACCGAACACGACTCAGTCCAACTAATAAATTGCACAGAAAAGCTTGTTGCAGGATGTTCAACGAGTCAAATTGACTCGTTTGTGTCATTCATTTTTCGCTCTGCGTTAAGAAGCATCTTCAGCTCCTGCTATTCATTTCCAATCAGGAGCTCTTTCTGATTCTGCAAAGTAATCATTTAGATTGCACGCCAAATTCTTCCAGATTACGCTGCATGTGACAAGTGATAACGTTCTCTCAATTTCCTAATTGAAAATTGAGGGAAAGATATTCCGCGATTCCAGAAGCACTGACCTTGCGCCCTCATCCCCTGCAGAAACTGCTTTGATTTGATGAACCAGAGAATAAAATAAACTACAGTGCTTTCAAAACAATCCTATATATGAAGGCAACTCGAAGCTGCTAATATATGATCCATGTTGTGTGGGCAAAAGGTGCATGTTTCACGGTGCATACAGCAACAGTGCAAGTATATTTACGCCTATCGCGATTGGTAAATTATTGCTAGTCTTATCAAGTGACGTCCATGTTATTGTCCGAGTAGTTCGGAAACTCAGCCATTCGCACACCTTTATTAACCACAACACTGATACTCTACTTCACACCACAAATAATGCGTTCCGCCACATACCAAGACGTCGATAGCTGACGCAATGTAGTTCGTTTGAAACGTGGAAGCTCGGTCAGCGACCAAGATTGATTGAGCGCAATATTGGCGTTTTTATGATTTACAAAATAGTCACGCTTGCAATAACGCAGGATCATTTGCCATCTATACAAACCCCTGGGTGCTATGCATTCATTAACACATGATAAAGGCGCTTATAACTTAAAAATAAAAAAACTAAATTTCGCATTAACCTTATTGGCTTAATAATAATCACAACAAATAATGGCAACTGATGAAAGCGTTGCCCAACAGCCATCGCTGTTGTTCCACTTATTAACGAATCGCATAGCGCAGTTTGTATATTTGTTTTTGAGAAACCGTTCATAAGCATGAATATAAAAAAACGAAACTGTATTACCGTAATTAAAAAAAGCGCACATGAGCAGAAAAAGGGTGTTGAACAAGTCACAGTAGGCTGATCAATGGATAAAAGTTCAGATAATAACTAATTTTAATGTTTAGATAGGAACAAAGTGAGCGCACATCTACAGTGTGAATGGTACAAGGGAGCTCAATGGGGTTGAGTGTGTCATAACTACTGAAGACAATATTATTTGACGTGCGCGGCGCACCTCTAACCAAATGGTTTCAGGTTCACCGAAATAAAATTCTTAATTGGAGCCAAAACTTGGAGCAGCATGTGCGATCACCATTCGGGGCCAAGTAGGAGTTTCAGCTGCTGCTCTGCGATTTCGAATATTCCCTCCTATGCGGCAAACGGCACGGCGTTGCCAAGATGCATTTTTTTTTCTGATCAGGCCGATAATGCTACCACTTACTGCGTAAGAAAGCTTCACCAAGTTAATTTTGAATCTACGTGGCTTCGCAGTGAATGACTGCAGTATATGAGCAATGATGTAATGAAACTTTTTTCGTGCAACAAAACTGAGTGGTTCGCCGTAGTATGGGGTCGTCTATAGCTCGGGTGTTTCTTTACTGAAAGGGGTGATGCGTGCTAATCACGCCTTTTTGCTACACTTATCGGAACCAGTAGTTTTGCAAGCCCTGTTGGTTAGCTCCAATTAATTATTGCGAAATGATCATTTACTACTTTTCTCTCTGGCTTAGCTGGAGTAAGATAAGTTTAGCATTTCCTTTATTTCTATATAAAATGGAAATATCTTCCAGAGGGAAAAAGAGTATTGGAAGCAAAGTGCTTCTTGTTACGTATGTCTGTACCTCTTTGAATGTTACTCATGATAGATCTCACTGGATTTTCTACTTCTACGGGTAAGCCTATCTACCATCTCTATATACATATGTACACAAGACTGCGACAGCCGACGCTGTGGCAACAGTTGTGCCTTTGACTTTCGCTGGCTCATAGCAAGCAGTCACAGTTTTGTTTTTTATTCAATCTCGGTCAGTGGTCGCAACGTGGCTAAGTTGCCACTTTTCTTGTGGGCGTCGTTGTGCTGTGCTTTCTAATTACGCACTTTGTTTCAGTTTAATTCCTTGGGGCTCGAGTTTACGGGTCTATAATTCAGAGTTACTGTCTTCGCCACTTGAAAGGAGGACAGAAGATGCACTCTTGTCAGAACTCTTGCACTTTTGTCAAGACTTCCTTGTGACATATTAAAATGAGTGCTAAGTTGCCTACTTACGTATCGTTTGCCAGAGACCATGCTCAGTCCTGACCCTTTCTGATGTAAAAAGAAAATCGCAAGAATAAATTTGCACCCCTTCATAAATAAAATAATGGCAATTGTCTACATATATGAGAATTATGATACACCTGGACATTGACCGTTGTTTTCTTTTTCTCAAAAAGGCCCGTGTTTTCTGCTAGGCCAATATCTTTTTGGTGGATAAACCGTGTGTCTATAGTTTTCCAACTTACAAACGTTCACCTACCCAATTCTATGCCCCGATTTTCAATCTGAAATTGCCTTCGCAAGAATAGTTCACTTGAACCAAGCGCTGTTGGTTCCAGAGAGCTTGAGAAACGTGTTTCACTGAATAGCGCTCGAAAGTGGTCCGCATATGGCGTTAGACGCGGCTGTATACCTACGACCTCACGTTATTTACAAGCTACACTTTTTTTTCTGCCGTGATCTTGGAACACAGCGTGGAATTCTAAGCAGAAGAGCGAACGAGGCCCAGCACAGTGCGGCGTTCTAACATCAGTTCGCGTTACGTATTCAAAATAGAGTCGAGGACAATGACCGCGCCTCGAAGTTATGTAGCGTATCAAAGCGGGGGCGTCTACACAAAGGCCAGTTTTATGGAGTTGGGGGGAACGAAGAAAAAAAAGGAAGTTTTGCCACTTGTATATACGATATTCCGAAATATGGTCAATTTTTATTGCTCTTAGGAAACGAAATAAACTTTAGTAGCGTATACGGTACAGGTTACGTGATGCAAGAAAAAACGTTGAATTGGTGAAACTCGTAAAGAGGGCGTAACTATTCTGCACTGCCTTTTCTTACAGCGTGAACTACTGAACAAGAAGCTACATCTCCGGCTCCGAAAAAGGGAAGACTCTCTCTACGTATATTACTATTGTTTGATTTTCATCTGTTAGGAAGGATGATGTCCAAGTTCCGTGGAAGAACATCGCCAGAAGTTCTGTTGAAGAAGGGGAGACGGGAAGAGACAGCTACGGGTAGAGGGAGAACGACACCCAACTAACGCAATGAAATCAAGTTGTCCGCTCTACAGCATAGCGGGCTCGTGTTGTACGGACGGATAGTGCGTTCAAAAAAAAAAAAAAGCTACGCCATGCGGCCTTCATCGATTGTCGCTGAACACCTGCGCGGAATGGTGTGAACTGACCTATACGCACACCTAATATTTTATTGTTCCCCTCCCATTAAACGAAAATGTCGTGGATGTCACGCAATTTATCGCCGTGTGTAGGAAAATTGAATGGTAAATAGGGTCATTAGCCTTTTAATTTTTGCTCTCACCAATGTATGATGCGCAAAACACGCTAAGATAGGCGCAGTCCAGAAAGCTGATTAAGAATTCGAATCAAAGAAGTGACGCAATTTTGTTAATTCTTTCACTGAACTCCGATGATATCGAATACCAAACAAAACATTTAGTCAATCTGAGTGTTAGAAAAACCTTGAAGTTATCTTGGTAGGAAGCGCAGCCACTATTACACAGAACACACAACACAAGCGCTTGTGGTGTTCTGTGCAATAGTGGCTGCCCTCCCTACCAAGGTGGATCCATACCAACTGGCCCGACACAATTGTTTCTTGAGGTTATCGCGCTGCGCAGTTGTCTAGGGTAGTTTTAGGTGTATTGCGCAATACCCTACGAGTTTCACGTTTTCCTGCCAGCATATAATTAAAATATAACTTTTATCGCTCCTATCCTAATGTGTGTAGTCTTTGGACCGCGCTACAAAAATGAACGCTGTACATAGCCGGGAAGTCCTATACGCTATTAAGTCTACCGCAGCTCGCGCAAGATAAAATTTCTTTACGCCAACAATAATTTCTCTACGTAGCAAACGAGGGATTCACTGTGTACACGTTTGCATAGAAGCAAAAGTGAATGAAATGCCTGAGCACGCCTAACCCCATTACTGGAGAAACGCCAGGTATTTGTCGTTTTGTGGACACGAAGTGGTTAGTCACAAAGACACAACTGATTCGCGAGCATGCGTCATCCTCATTTTGGTCATGAGATGTACACACGGCCGCCGCCAGAGACGATGACTGTTAAAGAAATGCACAACTCAGAAATCTTACTGGGTTTCGCAGTGCACTTTACGTGGGTTTTTGAAGCGACTGATCTTACTCGAGCGTTATCTTAGTGAAAACGATTGATTTTTTTTCTAGTAGGAACGAGGAAATGGGTTTCTTTTTCTCGCGTGCGCGCGTGTTTGGATGGACGCCATTGTTTAGGAGGCGTGAGTGCAACTGCTTTGGAATCTCGCGAGTTTTGTCTTAGCAATGGGCGGAAAACGAAAAAGAGACAAGCGCTCCATGGAGGAGGTGGCGGCAAGGGGGAGAGCCCCACGGAGGAAAGGTCTTAGGTGGCGAGGCCCAGAACGGCGGCCATGGCGGGGCCCAGCTGGTGGTGGTGTTCGGCCGGTGGCAGCGGCAGCGCCGGCGGAGGCGGCGAAGGTGTCGCGCCATCTTTGAAGCAGGCCGACTCGAGGTGCTTGTTGAGGTAGGACTTGAGCGCGAACGACTTGTGGCAGCGCGCGCAGCGGAAGTGCTTGAGGCCCGAGTGCGTCTGCATGTGCGCGCGCAGGTTGGAGCGGTCGGCGAACGCCTTGCCGCAGTGGGCGCAGCCGAACGGCTTCTCGCCGGTGTGCGAGCGCATGTGGCCCTGCAGGAGCCAGGGCCGCGAGAACGCCTTGCCGCACACGGGGCACTTGTGGCTCAGGTTGTGCGTCAGCACGTGCATGGCCAGCGCCGGCATGGACACGTACACCTTGGCGCACGTCGGGCACTTCTTGGCCAGCTGCGAGTCCGGGCTGCGGTGTGTCTGCTTGTGGCGCGACAGGTTGGACGAGGTCGCGTAGTGCTTGCCGCACTCGCCGCACGTGTAACGCGGCCGGTCCTCGGTGGTGGGACGCCGCGTCGTACCCGGCAGACCGGAGACGGTCGTGCGGCGCCGGGATCGGCCATCACTGATGAAGAAGGCGTCGTACGTGTAGCTCACGGTCACAGCCCGGGCGGCGCCGAACGAGGTGGACGAGCACGACGACGAGGCCGGGCTGCTACTGCGTGCCCCTCCTTCGCTCGATGGTTCGGCCGCCTGCACCGGGGTTAATGGCGGAGGTGCCGACCCCAGCGGGGGCCGCGAGTAGAACTCGGGCCCGCTCAGGTCCAGCACCCGCGGCTCATCGCGCAGTGGGCTGTACGCGGCGGCCCGCTCTGGCACCACCAGGCTTTCCGCACCCAGGGCCAGCTGGCCCGTCGAGTAGTCATGGATGAAACCTGCGCAGAACGCAACCTTTGGCTTCATTATGACTACAACAAAGAGGTAGTTTACATCACTGATAATCCGCCTTGTTGATTCTATTGAGCCCTTAGCCTCAGTAAATGGAGCTGCCTAGCAAACTGTATTTCTAGCAATCATAGATAATTCCTGATCGCAATTGAACACAACTGTTATTTTCGTGGGTGACGTTGTAAGGAAGCGGTCACCGCCGTAGCTCAACGGACGCGTTACCGCTCATTTCCCACTAGCGGTAAGTTGCTTTCCGCCCAGAATGATTTCGCTTCATCTCATCATCACTTCTACACTTCAATTAACGAACCAAATATTTACGCTTTATTTGCGTAGCTTGCCTGTTGGCTTCATATAGTGAACTCGGATCATAAAAACGGGCAACTAAAGGTGTTGCGCAAATATTTGGAGATAGTTTGTCTATGCAGCTGATAGCCTTATTGTTATCAGTTTTGTATGGCTGTAAATAATGGAGAACCGTGCTTTATTTTGCATTCTAGGCGGCACATTCGCCATTTTTCAATCACACTTAGGATCAAGACCCACAAAAAAAATTTCTGTCTTCCGTGTTTTCCTTTTGTTTTTTTAACAAGTTGCATCGCAGTTGGTCCCGTTTGGACACTACTTTTTAAGCTCTGGATTTCATAATAGTTAAGTCGCTCCCGTGTAGTCATACACTAACGCTTTCAGCTGGTTAAACTGTGAGCAGATGCCTATTTCTTTCTGAACATTAACATCTCAATCAATAATGAATACGTAGAACGAATTTTGGCTATCCTGCAGCGATGGCTTCTCTTTTTCACTTGGGCTGGTTCATGAATTTTCTCCACAGCAATTTCCTACACAAATTGAAGTTGCTCTAGAAATTATATTTGCGTTGGAATGTCTGTGCATTAAGGCATCGCTTTGAGGCCACAACTTCGTACTTTTTGGAATTTATGAACCTCCGAGCACACTCCTCCCCTGCGCTTCACTTTTTCTATGAAATGCCTTGTTTTATGAATAAATATTTAAGCAGTAAGATTACCCTTGCAAAGCTGACTTTAATTCACTCGGTTCAGACTGGGTGCGCCAAGACTTAGGGCTGCATCGCAGTCGCGATGTTTACATACTTTTTGATATCATGCTAACCCATAATCTTGTGCAGAGTGTTCTTGAGCCTACGCGTGTACAAATTTCTTGGTGTTTAGTTTTGGATCTGCATTTCTGTGCTCGTGAATTTTGTCAATTCGTGCTGGTCGAGCATGGGCTATCAGATCCGTATCTTGTCTACATTTCGTTGCTACTTGCGCGCTGTAGAAAAACTAAGAAAAAACGTCTACCCATTTTTCCAAATTTATTTTCACTTAAATGATGCATGTGCTAATAATTAATTAGAAAGTGCTTGACTAATGTTCAGTAGAGTAATGTCATTATACTTAGGACTCACTTCAAAGATGTGTGTTATTTTTGTCTAGATCCCACCAAATAACGAAAAAAACGAGTACACAAACAAATACCATCGATGAATCGTAATTATAGAGTATTAAGTGCACAATTAAGCAAAAAAAGAAGACCTATGCGCAGTCATATTTCATATCTGAATTAGCGTACATAGTTCGAAGGACTACTACTTTAACTTGTATTTGCTGAATTGACCCAAGTAACTTTTGGAATTACATTGCCGAGAAGAGATCAATATCACAAATGACCGTGAATAGACAGATAGGTATTAAAAAATAGAACTTGTCAGTTGCTTTATTACTCTTTTTCACAGTATACAATATTTTTTAAATTCTAGTGATTGTTTCCACAGCTTTGCAGTGCCGCAATTTTCCGATGCGAAATTTATATAAGGGCCTTGTGTACTTACTATGCTACTAAATCTCAAACCCAAATGTTCCAGTTGCCTGACAATATCCCCAATTTGTTTTTTTTTTCGTAAGTACGCGGCAATATTATCAATTTTTTGTTGTAATATTTTGTATGCCACTACTATTGTCAGAATTACCTAGTGACTGGAGCACCATCCGCATCGCACCAATTATAAGAAGGGACCCCATCTTCTCGTAGAAAATTACCATGCTGTTGTCAAAATTGTCAAAAATTGTACCGGTGAATGTTAATCGAATATTTTTGGGATAAACCAAAAATATTAGGGCCTATACATATTACACGTAAAAGCCACTTGATTATTTTTATTAGAGTATTTTACAACTATCTAGAATCTAATTGCTTCTTGTTGAAAATAGATATATAGTTAGACTGAAGTCATAGCTGAAAACGTAGCTCTTCATCCCGGAAGTACTGCGCCACCCGTAAACGACTACATCATCGTGTGTAGCCGATGAAGTCATCGTTTTCATGCACATTTAGCCTTGACGTGAAACAGACTTTTAGACAGGTACATATTTACATTCCCATACTTGCCTTTTCCCTAAATATTAGAAGTTTTTCTTTTTGGGGGGGGGGGGGTGTTAAAATATTCTTGTTTCCTGCCACTCCCCATTCTCGTGACTCGCAGTGGACGGGTTCAAGCGCAGGCGTCACCATACCTTCAGAAACATTGATATGTTATTGTGAAGGCTTTAGTTTCGCTTGTTGGCTCTCTGAACTTGCAACTGTCGCCCGCCAGAATTCCAGCACACTACATGTGAAGTTGTCAGCTGTGCACGTATGGCTAAAAAGCCTATACAGGGGGGGGGGGGGGGGCGATGAACAAAAAAGAACAGAGGACGATGAATTGTTCGGTTTGAGAGCGTCGTCGAGCGCTACATCCGGGCAGAAATAACGACGAAGGCGCATCTCCACTTCCGCGCCGAGATGAAACGCTGACTAGGGCTAGAGACGGACGCCTTTGATGCGGTGCCGGATTAAACGGGCTCCACGGACGCAGTTCGATTCTACTTGTTATCAACTGAAGAAGAATGCCCCTCTCTGACGGTATCGATTGCAGCTGCCACACGAGCGGTTGTGAACTGCGGGGATGTTGCGCGCACTTTTGCGCTTGTTGCAACGCGGGACTGCGTGGCGCCCTGGGCCCGGGATGAAGGCGAGAGAGAGCGCCTCCTTCTCGAACGCCTGCTCAAAAACGTCGGGGAGGCAGGCATCGGCAGCGCTATACTGGCCCTGTTGCAGGCACTTTCGTCCTCCGCGTGCTCCCGCCAAGTTGAGGCTTTCAGTTCGCGAAATTGGATTGCGCGCTACCACTTGTGACAGTGCCAAGGCGGGCATCCTAAATAGCTCGCTTGTGGCGGACCCCTTCGCGGCGCGGCCGCCGACATCGCTCAGCGTCTCTTTGACCCCCTCTTCGGTGCTTCCCACCGCACGATTGTCGTAGCCTTGCGCTCGATTAAAAAATCCCCGATTCCCGAAGCTTTTGTTTCCTAGGTGATTTTTGCCGTTGGCTGGCTGGCTTCGCTAATCATTTGCTCAGCAGTCGGATTGGCTGAAATATACATTAACAAACACTTTTGATCAATCTTATAAATACGAGCTATGGTTGTGCTTGCCTGAGCTCGCTGGTTCTCCGAGGCAAGGGCGTTTCAGCCAGGTATACTTGGACGGAGACAGAAGGGGAGTTTTTTGTCCAAGTAGTTGGCTGGAACCTCCCCGTCATAGCTATGATAGTTATACTATTTACATAAGCTTGCGGCCCTGCCACGGTATTCTAGTGGCTAAGGTACTCGGCTGCTGACCCGCAGTTCACGGGATCTAATCCCGGCTGCGTCGGCTGCATTTCCGATGGAGGCGAAAATGTTGTAGGCCCGTGTGCTCAGATTTGGGTGCACGTTAAAGAACCCCAGGTGGTGGAAATTTACGGAGCTCTCCACTATGGTGTCTCTCATAATCTTGTGGGGGTTTTGGGATGTTAACCCCCACATATCTGTCTATATAAGCTAGCGTTCGGCAACGAATGCGGGCAACAATTACTAGCTGTGCAAGAGCGCGCTCACGCACCTGTTGAGTCGATTCCCTTGCAATGGGTTGTTAAAGTTGAACCTACAACGGCCGACTTCTGGATACCGAAAATGAAATATTCTGTGACGTAGTGTTATCTGTTGTAAACAAAAAGTGATATTTGTGCAACAACATAATGTCAAAATGTTTCTGCTCAAAACATGCAACTTAACAGAAATAATGATATAACTCACGTTCTTTCTCGACAAAAAAAAACAAACGAAAATAAGTGCATACTCGAAGTTGAAATATAAATTTCATTTTTGTACTTAAAGTAATGTCATGTAATTTCTAATAATAATTATTGTGATTTAACATATGCCAAAAGCAGTGCAACCGACTCTGTGCGTTGTCGCAGTTTGGAGCTGTAGTTTGTGCCAAAAATAATTGCAAAACCTAGAGCTCGTGTCAAACATAAATTGCAAATATTGTTTGCATTGCAGTATCATCCAAATGTGGTCACTGGCGTGACTGTCGCCGTAGGTCAAGCGAAAAAAGCTCTCATGTTTATCCATATCCGACAGATTTTTATGAAAGCTGCGACAAGCTAGTGATTTCTTAATGAAATAAAAAAACGAAGTACTTGCTGCCTTTTACCGGTGATGGTCAGCTTTCATCATTTGGACACATTATAAACTAAAGTAATTTGCACTGACCAATATTTTGCGAAGGACGAGGAAAATCGCTTATCTACATGTTCTTATTACACAAATCGCAAGTGTCTGGGGCTGACGAATGCTTCGTATCAGTGAGTAAACTCAGAATGCATAGAATCACGAAATAGAAACTCTGTTCCCGCAGCATAGGTTAAAGAGCCCCTGGACTACATCGAGTTCCAAGGCAAGGCAGCCGTTCGTTTGTCTACTTCACTACCGTACCTACACAAGCGCTATCTCTTCCTCGCCACTTCTTTCTTCATAAAACGCGTTATAGGTCTGCACTAAATGTCGTGCCGGTCAGAATTTCGCCATTTTTCATCTACACGCTGCCATCTCCCCTTGCGCAGTCGCCAACGCGCAAAACAAAGGGAAATCAGTTCGTCGTGCAT